GGGAACACCACCCGCCTCATAAAAAAAACCCCTAAAAAAAAAAAAAAAAAAAAAAAAAAAAAAAACCTCTAGCAACAACTATTGCTGAAGCACAAGTCTTATTCCTGAAATAATTGTTTATTTTTAAACTTTTTTATTTTTCAAGATTCAAAGCTTTTCTGGAAGCAACACTTAATATTCAGTATAATTTGTTTCTGTGATTTTTAAAATGTTTTAAACTTTTAGGGATTCAAATTCTGGTGACTTTAGATATATTTGATAACTCAACTTGCAAATATACTGTCCTGCAGTGGAGAATTCTCATCTTATGCTTTCATGAAAGTTTATTATTTTGACAGTAAACTAGAAATTGAATATAAGCTAGATCCAGGGGACTCAGAAATTAAGTCAGAGAAATGTGTTTGCTATGTTTAATCTGTAGGTTTTTATTGAAATGTTTGGAATTCTAACATTGTCTAAGTAGTTCCATGACTTCTGAGTAGTAAACCATTTCCAGGATAGAGAACAAAATGTGTCCTTAAGCCACTTTCAGGACCAACTCACGTAAACAAGCTAAAGCAGACCAATGCTTCTCATTCTCCACCTCTTCTATCTTCTGCCCAGCTAATGGAATAAAGAAGGAAGACTTTCCTATAAAATACTTGTAGGATACTTTTTTTTTTTACCATTTCTCCTTCTTATAGTTAACTCTTTCTATCAACACTCAATACCAAACTGGAAGGTGTAAAAAACCAGTGTTGAGATCTACATACCATAAATACAATTTACATCACCCCCATGGATGTGATAAATGAAGATATAGTTCTTTATTATGTCTATGGCTTACCCAGCTACTTCACAAGGTCTCAACCTCTAGTTAATTGGGAACAATAATCATCTAATCCAGCTTAAGGTATGTCTGATCCAATAATTTAAACAATCTCTCCACTAAAACTGTTCAGTCATGTAGCCTCTCTCATCCTGCTTCTTCCTCTCTAAAATAGTGCCCATGTGTACAGGAATAAGTAATTTAATGAAGGGAAGTGGGGTGGCAGAGAAAGCATATGGTTTATTTGTCATCATGGTCTTAGGATTAGAAATAAGTTGGATACACCAGATCTACATGAGGTCCTTTGGCTCCTCTTATCCTTGGGCAGTGTCCCTTTTATCTGGTCACTGTGCATACTGTTGGCATCTGATGCAAAATGGAATTCTACTGGTTGGAAGCTGGGGTCCACTCCTTTGGCTCAGGCAACATTCCCAGGTGCCCTGCCTGGTTTGCCACATTTACCTTGGATTCCACTGGCATTACACTCCTATAACTCTTGTCTGAGGTCATATTATAATTTACACTAGGCCTCAGTAAACAGCCATTCCCTGCCACAAATCCATCTCACCTCTATTAGGTGACTTCCTGCTAGAAGGTCCCCAGTAGAGTTTCAGTTCTATGTCACAATATAATAAAACTGAGTCAAGAAAACTGAAAGGTCAGAAATCCTTTATCTGGTCATACCTAGCACACTACACTGCCATATGGTGTGTGGATAAGCAGTATCAAACAGCCCAAAAAGCAGCCTTCCCTCAAGAGCCTAAATAGGAAATGAGCAAATAAAATCAGCTATTATTATCAGGGATGACTTCGCTTCTCATACACTCACTTGATCACACTGTTCTCTCTCCATTGCTCTCTTTCTCACTCAAAAAAATCTACTCCCTTAGCGTGAAAAAGGGTGAGTTTTTCTTTTACTTCCCCTATATCATATTCTTCAGTTTAGAAACTACAAGCCACCTTTTGACTTTCTTTTCATAGGTTGAAAGTGTGGCCACTATCTACCATGGGGAAATGCTATAGTAATGAATCCTTCAGATTTGACTATCCAAGTAATGAAAAGAGGAGCAAAAAAAAACTTAGAAAATCTCTCAATATAGAGTTTAGATTAATACAAAGATATTGAAAAGAATCTTTCCAAGCAGAATTTTATTACCTGGATACTTCATTTACTACCTACCCAAGAAGGTAATAATCTAAATCTGTTATCACCACCCCATTCCCAGGATCTAGGTTCCTTTTCCTCTTCCCAGCCCCTAAGTCTGCTTTTTTAAGGTTGCTGGATCCCACATGTCCGACTGTGTTTTTCAAGTCCCAGACCCAGTAGTTTTAACATACATGCCAGATACATGTGTGCTCATGCCCAAAATCCTGAAAGGAAGGATAAATGGAGAAGGGATTGCAGTGGGACCATCCCCCCATGGGGGTGCTTTCTCTCTGGCAAGCACATGCATCCTCCAGAAAAACTTTTTTAAAAAGAAGAGGGGCTTGCAGGTGGCATAGTGGTTAAGGCATGGAATTCCCACATGGCCAACACTGGTTCAAGTCCTGGACCTGGCGGCTTGAAACTCATGCCAGGCATGTGTATGTGTGTGCCCAAAATTATAAGAGGAGAATGGAGGAAAAGGGATTGCAATGTGGTCATCCTCCCTGGGAAGTGACTTCTCACCTTCTCTCTCTCTGTCTCTCTCTGTGTCTCTGGCAAGCACATGCACTCTATAACAAAAATCTCTTAAAAAAAAAAAAAAGAAGAAGAAGAAGAAAGAAATTAAGGTTTAGAAAGGTCAAATGAGGGACCAGCAGATGACACAATGGTTATGTCACTGGACTCCCATGTAGTGACCAACAGTGGTTCGAGTCCCAGTCCTGACTACTTAAAACTCACACTGGGTTCATGTGCGTGCATGCCCAAAATCCCCAGAGGAGAATGGAGGAGAAGGTATTGCAGTGTACCCATTCCCCTGGGAGCTGATGTCTCGCTCTCTGTCTCTCTGTCTCTGTCTCTCCAGAAAGCACACACGCCCTATAGCAAAAACTTCTCTAGGAAAAAGAAAAAAGAAAGGTCAAGTGAGTTGCTCAAGATAATATACCACATGGTTATGGAGATGGGACTGGAAGCACTTGTTGGCTTTTTGGCTAAGAACAAGTACAGAGAGATGGGACTAGAACCAGTTCTGCTGACTTTAATTCTACTTCAACATAATGGAAAGGAATTTTCCTCTAGCCTTGATTTCTGGAATCAAATTCAACTCAGTTTTTCTAACTTATAATAGAACTAGGTTTCCCCTGAGCCTTCTGTGTTTCTCTTATCCAGGTTCTCAACATCCAATTTTAATCATAGAGTCAAACAGTTATCTTGATAAATTATTTAACCTCTCTTATATTCAGTTATTATGTTTTTAAAACAGCATTAATGATATGTATCTTGCTGATTGGAATTACAGAAAACATATGTAAAATAGATACCATGCATTTTCCATCCAATACCCATTTTCTCCTAGTTCTACATTAATGAGCCCCAATCTTGTAGAGAGCAGCAATATGCCCATTCCATGCTTGGTTTAAATAAAGGATGACATTTTTCTCCATTTGTCAGCCTCTTATGTTAGTGGTGGCCTAGTGAACCAGTTCTGACCAATGTGACATAAAGGTTGACAAGAAGATGTGACACAGGTGGCAGCTCTGGGGAAGGTTTTGCCTTCTTGATAAAGAAAAGAATGTTTGGAATTCTTCTTTCTCCACTAGCCTACTCCTTTCTTCCTCCCTTTATTAAAAAATTATTATTATTTTGGGGCCAGCAGGTGGCATGGTGGATAAGGGTGCTGGACTCCCACAGGGCCGACTATGGTTCGAGTATCTGACCTGGTGGTTTGCTTTCTCACTTTCTTTCTCTCTCTCTCTCTCTCTCTCTCTCTCTCTCTCTCTCTCTCT